ATATTTTGCTAGAGTTTCACCTAAACTTATAATTATTGTTAAAAAAAACCTTATCTTTAACTTTTGAATTAGATCCTTTAGATATCAAAGATAACAAACTATCAACATTTCTGCATGTCTACCCTAATACTCATCATAATTTGCTGCAAGTTTTAATTTAGTGTATCTTCACCTCCCCAAACCTCAAGTATTTTGAAAACAGAGCCTCAATTTGATTTCATTCTGCATTTCCTTGATCTATTGAAGTTCTTGGTACACACTAAGTTATTCCATAAAAGAAGTAAAAAAAAAAGAGCCTCAGTGGAAATTTAAAGGGATTTTAGTCACAGCAGGCTTCAGAATTTGCTGTACTACGTTAGCTAAATCACATAACTTCTATTAGCCTTGCATTTTCTATTTACGTAATGAGTAAATTTTTGGGGGGAGATAGATCTGGAACCAGTAGATAGAAACTATAAAGACATTCCCAGCTCATTGCAAGAAAACCTCTTTCTAAAAAGTAAAGGTTTCCAAAACTATGCTTGTTGGTTTCCTAAAACAGAATTCTTAACAAATGAAAGAGGTTAATCGTAGGCTTAATGAGCATGTAGCGGAAGAGTTAAGTATTAAAAAATGAAAAGGTGGAAAGATGGTTAGGGTACAAGATCTTTATTATCAGAGATTTGGTGATGCCATGCGATTATTGTGGCACTGGAGGACTATGGGTATAGCATGATAAAGTGCAGGACATGCTCCCCCAAAATATGGTACCTCTAAAATGCAGAGAACCTCAAAAGCAGAAAGGTCTATCTGAATAAGCAGAAAGGTCTATCTGAACTTCTCTCACCCCTGGTCGTTTGAAGATCCTCATCTGACAGGTATCCAGCCCTATACCCAGAGCAAAGGAATATTCCACATAAATGCCAAAAGGAATTTTTGATCCTTTATGGTATAGCAATGGTTTAGTTTATAACCATAACCAATGGTAATGGTTTCTTAATATTAGGTCATATTCATTTTTATTCAATCATACTTGACACTAGTGTTCATTCTCCTTAAACCTGAGCATAAAAATATATAGTTCTTCCTGGGTCTTTGAGTCTTCCTTTTGGAAAGCTCCCATGTCATGTAAAGCTTTGATTCAATCAAGCATTTTGCTTATCTGCTGTTAATGTCTCTGTCTTTTGTTACAGTGTGTCAGCCATGAAGCTTGCAGTGGGCAAGGAAAATATATCACTTGTTCTCTCCTACAAGCACAAACATGAAACACATTGGGACTTGGCCTCCAACATTGCCATCAAGAAGACACTCACTTTACTTCTTTGTATAACATGTTACTCAAATTCTAGGTGATGACATTTATAATATCTTTTCTGTCTAATTCCTGGATTTGTTGTAAGGATAATAAACTTCAACATATATTGAAAATGAATAGTTCCGAAAGAAACCAAGACAATATTATTAAAAATATTTCAATGGTGTTCTCTCCTGTTCTCTATAGGGAACATAAGTTCTGTTAAATCAACTGTATAGACCACCTCCTGAATGGAAGAATTTAATAATGGTTTGGAAGCCAACATATCACCATCTGTTTAGCCTGATGGTGACTCCGTTTGGCTGCAGTTGAGATTAGCTTTAAAAACTTTTATTGATGCGAACATTTAATAGCTTTTTCTTTTTAATTGTATGTTTGCAAGTTTCTCAGTATTACCAGAGAATAGGCTCTCAGATTTCTCTCTCATCACTTACCACTTCACCCACAATGAGGTAAGATTCTCAATTTCCAGCCATATGTAACTGAAAAATGTTCTAATACTATTCTGTATTGTTCAGCCATTGCCACAATAATGCTACATGACAAACCACCTCAAATGTAGGGTCTTAAAGCAACTAGTGTTCATGATTTTTCTTTTTTTTTTTTTTTTCCTGCCTCAGGTTTATTTGTACAAATAGCACAGGAGGACCCCAGCCCCATGCAGATGGCAGCCCCAGGGGAGTTACACCAGTCCTTCTGTCCTCGCATTGGCAGACAAAGATATCTATTCTGAAGCCTTTGTAGGGGCCTGGGCACCTTTGAGAGCCTGAGCTGGAACTGAAACTGGAGCTGAAGCCTGGGCCTTGGTTTGATCCTTGGCCTTGGCCTTGACCTTGACCTTTGGCCGGCAGAGCCTGAGCCCCTTGGCAATGCGTGCCCGAGCATGCTTCCCAAGCTTGGGGTGGGCAATGTAGGCAAGTCGATCGAGCTTGCGGCTGACACCCTTTGGGATCTTGGGCTTAACCTCCTTGGGCTTTACGAGGGCCTTGATGGCCTCAGCTCGTGCACTCATGGCCTTGGCATTGTTGGCCTGCATCTTCTTTAGGCCCTTTTTGTTGTGCTTCTTGGCAAAGCGCATGTTCCTCAGGAACTTGGGGTCCACCCCCTTAAGAGACTCGTATCTTTGTGATCGGGGTTTCTTGATACCATTTCTGTGCCATTTTCGGGACTGGTTGTGTGTGGTGTGGTTCTTGGACTTGGCCATGTCTGCACCCAAGCCGTGGTTCCCCCATGATTTTTCTAGTTCACAAATCTGTGTGGTGTCTGTTGCAGATCTGTTCCATGTGTGGGTAGACTGGACTTTCTTTCTTTGGATTGGGTATAGGTTTTTTCACAGGTTTTCTCAATCACCAAAGACCAATGGGTATCTGCAGCATTCTCTTCTCTTGAGAAGTAGCACAAATACACTTAGTACCTCTAAAGACCTTAGACCAAGACTAGCAGATTGTCTCATCTGCCTGCATTCCATTGGACTAAGCAATGACATAGCCACGTCTACATCAAAGAGAAGGAGAAATACATTGGCTATTTATCATTATATTAGCACCACACCTGGGACCAGGTAAGTCTACATAAATACTGTAGACTGAATGAATATTCCATAAATGAAAATTTCACCTACTACCGAAGCATAATTCTAGTTGAGTATTTCCAATAACACAGCTTTGCTATTTCCCAGAGCAGCCTATTTTGTTTTTTGATTTAAGCATTTTAGTTGCTACAAAATCCCTATTATAATGAGTTAAATTTAACCTACTCAATGTTCTTCCAATTATATCTCTAGTTTCCCCTGAAAAACAAGTACACTTCCTCTTAGATAAGACAGCCATTTCAAATAATTGAAGTAATTTTTCCATTCTATATATTCCCAGTGCCTTCAACAATTATCACCCCCATAAATCCATTGTCCAAATGTTTCTAGAAGCAAATGCATCTGTTAATATATAGATTTCAAACAGTCTTCACATAACTCAAATATAGAAAGAGATCCCCTATTTCTAGTTGCTTGTATACTATCAATATTTCAATTATGCAGTTAATTTAAAAGTTGTAACATAAAGTGATGAAAAGTAAAATTTTTTAAATTGTGAAAATCTTTAAGTACAAAGGGAAATAATATAATGAAGACCTGTGTATACATGACCAAGGTTTTCAACTTAATAATTTACTATATTTATTAGAACTCTAATAGAACACAAATTATTACATGTGTAGCTGAAGTCTACTTTGTATTTCCCCCTTACCTAACTCATTCCCTTTCAACTATAAGAGATAATGACTTCCTTAAATATTTTATAAAAATTTACCACATTCTAAGCCATAACCAAAAATCTATATACATCAAATAATCAATTTTTAGACTATATTATTTGCATTTTAATCAGAAATCAAAAAAATACTATGTGAAAATATATCTATTTTGCAGTGACTGCAGTATTCTATTTAAGTTAAGAGTGTTTACAAACCTACAACTAATCTTTTCAATCTAATACCAACAAGGTGCATTAAAACTTCCTACTATATAAAATTTTGAATTTATAAGAATTCTCTTCATTTCCCTTAAATATTATAGATTAGAATTTTAGAATATTGTGATAATTTTTTATTACAAACTGTTACTTTTACACTTTAATAATACTTCTGCATAATATCTATTTGTCTTATATTAATACAGGTGTATTTGCTTTGGGTTTGGCTACTTTTGCCCACCTTTTTAATTCCTTATTTGATTTTCCATCTTTATGTACATTTATGTCTTTTTAACGCAAATATTATTAGTTTAGTTTTATTCTTTTGTTCAATATGATACTGACAATATTTGCCTATTCTAGGACAGAGAGTTTCATTTATTTTGATTTCTAATATTTTGATATATATATATATATATATATTATACTTCCTTGTTACCTTGTTTTTATTATTTATTTTTGTCTTATATTAACAACTTTTTATTTATTCTTCTATTTTTCCTTTGCTTGTTATCAAATTATATGGTTTATGTCTAGCACTTAATATATGAGTTTACATTTTTAACATAACTATTTTTGAAGTATGAAGTTAAATAAAATATCCACCCTTTTTCAAAATATATCTAGGACTCTGAGATGTTTTCAATTTTATACCTTTCCTCACAACTTACTTATAAATGTGATGTAATATTTTAGTTCTATTTTTATATCACAAAAAAAATATTCTCTTTCTCTTCCTCCTTCATCTTTTTCTTCTTCCCTACAGGTTTGCAAACTAATGTATTAAACCATACTAGATCTTGGTTATGCCACTTATTCCATCACTCTCTCCTTAGCCTTAGATCCATGAGCACATTGGCTAAGCAGATCTTCCTTCATATTTGCCTAAAATTCTCTAATAGAAATTATTATCGCATTAGTATCTAGGTCAGAGTTTTGCACAAACCTGAGGAAAAAAAACAAAGGATTTTTAAATTTTATAATTTCATTGGCAATATAACACCTATATAGACTCTTCTATGTTTAGAAAATTGAGGCAATTTTGAAATATTCTGACTGGTAATGAGTAACAGGTCACATTTTAATTTTAATTCTTTTTAAATTTAATTCCTGATTGTTATCACAAATTTGTTCTTCTTCTGCAGGAATAAAGTCATCTTCTCTTTTGTGGTATATATATTTAAAGTTAAAGCATAAAGTAATCTCAGAGATTGGAGAGGTTTAAGAACATCACCTACCTGGCCAGCAGTGTCCAAGATGTCCAGATAAGCTGGCTCATTGTCAATCCTGACCTGGGTCTTATAAGCATCTTCTGAAAAACACAAGCCAACATTTACAGTTAAATATATTCTACAGGAAAGGCATGATTAATTTTTAGATTTCACATGGAAGAATTTCTAAGTTACTAAGAGAATCAGAAATGCTACTAAAATAGCATACATAGATTGAAAAGGATGTAACCTAGAGAAATACAGGATAAAGTGTTTCTGCTTAAAGTGAAACCAAGTATATTTCTCTTTCATCAGGAAAATTTTATGATCTGAGGTGCCCTAGTGATGTTACCTAGGGAGCAACATGAAACAAATGTTATCAGTTCTTTCTTAACAATGAAGGGCAAAATTGCATCCTAACATCTTAATTGTAAAAGCCTGAAAGCTTTTATTAGATCAGGAGGAAGACAAGATTCCCTGCTCTCACCTCCTCTATTTAACATAGTACTAGAATTGCTCATATTACTAATTGCTCATAGCCAGAGCAATTAGGCAAGGATTAAAAGTATAATCATCCCAAAAGGAAAAGGAGTAAAATTCTCTCTCTTTACAGACAACGTGATTTTATATGTAGAACCTTAGAGATTACATACATACAAACCCTAAACGAATTCAGCAAAGTTGTAGAATGTAAAGTCAACAAGCAAGAACCAGTAATAATATGAAAAGAAATATTAAGAAGTCAACTTCATTTATGATGACATCAAAAATAATAAAATACTTAGGAATTAACAAACGATGTGAACACTTGTACATTAAAAATTGTAAAATGCTGCTGAGAGAAATTAAAGACACAAATGTAAAACACATTTGATATTTATGGACTGAGAGACTGTTAAAATGTTAATACCTGCCAAAGGAATGTACAGAATTTAATGCAATCCTTATCCAAATTCCAACAATGCTTTTGTAGAAATAGAAAAAATCATCCAAAGGACTGTAATAGGCAAAACAATTTTGAAAAAGAAGAACAAAGCTTGAGGTCTCAGACTTCCTGATTTCAAAACTTATTACACAGCTTCAATAATAAAAGCATTGTAGAACTTGCACAAAAGCAGACAAATATATCAATGATGAATAGAGAACCTGTAAATAAAACAGAGAATAGAAATAGAGAGTCTGAAAATAAACCCTGAAACATATGATCAAATAGTTTCATCAAAGGTGCTAGAACTAGTCAATGAAGAAAGGATATATTTTGCTTTTTGGGTTTTTTTTTTTTTTGAACAATGATGCTGAGAAAACTGGTATCACATGCAAAAAGGAAAACAATAAAGTTGGACTCTCATCTTATACCACATACAAAAACTAACAGAAATGCATCAAAGACCTAAGTATAAAACTTATAAAACTCTTAGAAGAAAGCATAAGAAAAAGCTTTATGATACTATATTTGGTAATGATTTCTCAGATATGATGCCAAAACACAAGCAGCAAAAGTAAAAGTAAATAAATTGGACCACATCAAAATTTAAAACTTTCATGCATCAAAAGATATAATCAACAGAGAGAAAGACAACTCATAGAATGGGAGAAAATATTCACAAATCATATATCTGATAAGGGGTTACTACTTATATATAAGAAGTATATAAAGAATAAGATAAGGGGTTACTACTTACATATAAGAATATATAAAGAACTCTTACAATTAAACAAAAAAGCCAATTGGATTAGAATAATTGAATCTACATGTCCAATGAGTACATGAGAAGAAGCTTAAGTTCACTAATAATTATTAGGGAAACAAAAAGTAAAACCATAATAAAATTATTTCATACCCATTAAGACATTATCAAATAAAAATAACAGAAATTAATAGTTGAGAATGTGGAAAAAGCAGAACCTTTGTGTCCTGCTGGTGGCCATGTAACTTGGTTCAGTTGTCTATGGACAGCAGTATAGAGATACCTCAAAGAATTCCAAATAAAATTATCATACGATCTAGCAATTTCAGTACTGGGAACAATTTCAGTACTTTCAACCCAAAAGAGTTGAAAGCAAAATCCTGAAGAAATATAAATCCATGTGCTCACAGCAGAATTATTCACATTAAACAAGAGGCAGAAACAACCAATGTGTCCCTTGATGGATAAATGTAGGCAAATTATACTATATACATACAATAGAATATTATTTAGCCTTAAAAAGGAAGGAAATTGTGACACATGCTACAACATGAATGAACCTTGAGTCCATGATGCTAAGTGAAATAAAACAGTTACGGAAAGATAAAAACTGTATGGCTTCACTTATATGAGGTACTTAGAGTAGTGAAAATCACAGAAATAGGAAGTAGAATGGTGGTAGCTAGAGGACCAGGAAGGGGGTAAATGGGGTGCTGTTTTTTAATGGGTATAGTTTCAGTTTTGCAGGGTGGAAAAGTTCTGGAGATTGGTTACAGAACAATGTTTATGTCCTTAATACTAATTAACTCTAAAGTTAAAGTAGTTACCATGGTGAATTTTATGTTCTGTTATGTGTATTTTACAATTTAAGAAATTAAGATAAAAAAGTTGGATTCTTTCTACTTTAATAATAGAAAGTGTACATAGAGCCACCTTAAGGTTTAGTTAGAATGGAACAAATACATTAGAAATGAGGAAACTACCTGCTCCCAAGAGCTTTCTGTTGATGTGATTCTATTTAACAGAGCAAATTTGAAGTATAGCAAATTCGAACACTAGAAAAGTATTTAATACATTAACATTCATGCTTAACTATAATCCCTGCCATGGTTTGAATGTTTATTCCTTTCAAAACTCATGTTGAAATTTAATTCCCAATGTGGCCGTTTTGAGAGTTGGAGCCTTTAAGAGGTAATCCCTGATGAATGGATTACTCCATTAATGCAGTAAGGAGTTAATGGGTTAATGGGTTATCAGGAAAGTAGGACTGATGTCTATATAAGAAGAGGAAAAGAGACCTAAGCTAGCGATTTAGCACACTTAACTCCTCATATAATGCCCTCTACTGCCTCAGGACTCTAGAAAAAGTCATCAGCAAGAAGGCCGTCACCAGATGTGGCCCCTTGTTGAACATGTAGGCCTCCATAACTGTGTAAAATAAATTCATTTTTTAAATAAATTACTCAGTTTCAGGTGTTCTGAGTGCAAATAGACTGTAAGTCCAAAAAAAAAAAAGCAACAGAGAAATCAGCTATGAGACATTGATGAGATCTGACACACAGCAGATAATAAAGAATAGAGGAAGAGAAGAAGAAAACAAAAAGATAAAGAAAAATGAGATGTAAGTTTTGACGATAGGCATTGAGGATGAATAAAAATTGTCTGCAATCCCCTATTTGACATCATTTGCAAAATTTCAAAATATTCAATGTAAAAACTATGTCTTTCCCAAACCTATGATCAAGGAGGAATAAGAAAGATGAAAATCAGAGTGGGAAAAAGCTAAGTGAGAAGAGTCATAGGATTGGGAATGAGCAGGATCTTGCTTAGAAGTATGAATTTTTAACCAGTGAGACTTTTAGGAGCTAGATGGTCCCACAGAAATGTTAGGTCTGTGTAAGGTCACAGAAAAGCTGTAACCAATAAAATAGTATTTTCTGGGCCCAGACTCTTGAAGTCTTTTAAATTCAAATCTCTCTCTAGTGTTTATTTTATTTCAGGACAATGAGCCTGCTGTACTCTTTGGCTTTCATTTGACTTTATATTTTATAATATGTCATGTTCACTCAACTTAAGTGTTTGCCTTGACAACTGAATGGCTTCATGTTTTGCATTCCTAATTCCTATCCAGAGACATCAACTGTTCTCCAGTTTCTTGAACAGCAAAACAGTATCATTTGCTTAATCAGAGAAACATAGTTTTATTTACAGTTGTAAATAACAATTGACAAAACTCTTAAGAGGAGACCAGGAAGTCATAAAACCACTTGTGCTACAATCAATTAACCATTTCTATTTCTTTTCCTTGGGAGTTTGAGGGCCTACAATCTGGGATTCAAAGCTTAGTAAGACCCAGATCCTCCATCAAAAAACTGACCGTCTAGTAAAAGGGCGCATACATGATAAGATTCAAATATCATATAATGTGGACATTAAAATATGTCCAAGTTGTTAAGGGATCAAAAAGAGAAAATAAATTCTCTCCAGTAAGGAATGTAACTTACAACTTTAAAGAGATTAGTGTCTGAGTGGCTTATTAAACTGAATGGGACTTTTCCAGATGAAAACGAAATGAGATGCATACTCAGCAGCCATAGTACCTCCCTCTGAGTAGCAAATTCTTGGTCAGATTAAAAAACATAAATAATTAAAGGTGACATATAAAATCTGACACTTTAAGAAAGCAGTTTTTACATGGTTTTAACATTGTGTTTTTGTTTTAAAATAACGTTTTTTTTAAATCAAGCTAAAATTCAAAAATGAACCATTTGTAGGTATACAATTCAGTGGTATTTAGCACATTCACAGTGTTGTACAACCATCAATACTATCAAGTTCCAACTTTTCTTATCACTTCAAAAGAAAAACCTATACCCATCGGTCAGCCATAATCTACCCCTGCTACTCCCACCTTCTGAAACTGGAAGTCAAAAACTCCTAGAGTCTGGCTGCAATCTACGTTTTGTTCTATGTATCATTTGTATTATAAGCAAAAAGCAAACTGAATCACTGCTAAAGGCTTTTAGAACATCATCGGATTTTGGCACAACTCAGTTATTATTCATACTGTTGATTGTGAGCCACAAGTAAACAAATGAATTCTTTTCAGAAACCGTTGTTGTAGAAAGTAGTAATGATCAACCACAGGAGGCATTTTTCCAATGCATAATCCTGAGTAACTCACAAATCAGATGATTGCCAGCTGCGGGAGTTATGAAGACACACAAAAACACACATGGGCAAATAGAATCATGGTCTCTACTCTCAAAAGGTTTGTAAAATCATGGTGGGAGACATACACATAAACACACATATACAATGGGATATTAAAATCGCAAAACATATAGAGCATAAATTCCACTTCAAGGAAATTCATTTCTTATGACTGTGCTCCAGAAGGCAGAAGTTGTGGA